GCTATTTCATTTGACTCAACAGTCGAAAAAGTCTGCTGAAATACCAGATAAAACTGAATTTTAGAGAGCCCTCTGCTGGATCACAATGCAAAGTGCCTCAATGGTAGTGAGTATAAGTTACACTTTTTCGGCAGGTTATTCGAGTACAGATAAGATGACTGATGGTCAGTGGCAGGTGGAAATCCAGTTTTCAAAATACAGCAAAGATAGTATGATGTGAACATATGTTCAATCCCTTTATGAATGTTTCATCCTGCCACTCTGTGCCCTTAAACACCCTTGCCCCCTGCCTCAATCTGTGCAGCATATTGCAACATATGGCGACTTTATGATGACTGTCCGGTTGCGGCCACCAGCCAATATCAGCCAGTTTAGAAGTGAGGATGTGCCATCTGTCAAAAATCTGATCACTGCTGCATGGCTTCCTGCTGTCTTGCCACAAGTGATGAGACACAGAGATACCGAAACACAAGGGGGTCATGCACACAGAAAAAGCAACGGGACTCAATGCAGCGCATTGAACAAATCTAAAGCCTGGAAGAAAGAAAAGAAACAGTGTTTAACTTTGACTTTTATCGAAAGGAGCAATCAAATCTTCAATGAAACCTTTGTTTGGGATCAACATGTGCTGTTTGTGAAATAACTGACAGGTCTGTTTATTGAGCTAAATCAGCATGTAGAAAAGGTATTGTTTTGCTAGGATAGAGATCTGGAAACAAATTTAAATTTATAGCATCCTCGCTCGAGTTCAAAGCTGAGATAAAATGATACAACAAAAAGGCATGTTCTAAAGGTGCTGGAATGAAAGAGAAAGTTGTATCTAGGAGCGGTATGGAATTTCAATTTGTTTTATCCAGGCTGGATGAAAAAGTTTTTAATCTACCGTCAGCCTAAGCTGGCAATCAAAATTCATCTTTCTCAGCCGAAAAGATCAACCATGGAAAAAGATGTCGCCACATCACTTTGGCTAAGCTGCAGTATTTCTGTAAAAGAATTACACCCCATCTGTTCTAGTGTTTATAATTAGTGGTAAACACTAAAGGGGGGAGATTAATCTCATTTGACAAAGCAGCAGTAACAAACAGAGCAAAATGGCCAAGCTTGGTGACAGGGCTATTATACAATGGAAAGAAATCACTGCATAGTCTGTAGGGCTGAAACGATTACTCGAGTAACTCGAGTAACTCGATTAATAAAATTCCTCGAGGCAAATTATATGCCTCGAGGAATCGTTTAAATCCGGAACCATGTGCAGCGCACGGTGTTTGACACGGACGGTTATTTCTGTTGCGCAGAAGCGTGCTCTTTCCGCTCCTTCCGCTGCCGCGCGTTTGGTTCAATCATGGAGGGAAACGAGGACAGACAGAAGCTGTGTCCGAAATGGCATACTGCCTGCTATCTACTTACCTACTTAAGCAGTAGCTACTGCCTTCTGACTACTCAAAGATGATTTGAGTATGCCGCGGCTGCCCGAGCGTTTACACACATACATACTAAATACCCCAGAATGCATTTCGTGCCGGCCGGACGCAGCGCCGGGAAAATTTAAATAGTCCTACCACAAGCTACATAGAACGACTGCATACCGGACAAATTATATAAATTCATTCAATAACAATATTTTTTCTAGCGAGAAAGTAAGTGTTTACATCACGATTATGAGCCCAGTTGTTTGAAATAGTGGCTGTTTGTAAATTTGTCTCGGCGTTTTCGGAGACCGAAGCGTCCACTTGGTCGGTGTTTGCGTCTATTTACCGTAAACACCGGGCAGCAGCAGCTCCCCCTTCACGTTTCCAAATTATTGCGAAGTGTTTTCATAATCAACATCTACACGACACAGACCGGGCGGCAGTGGATGAAAAAAATCACACAAACATCCGTGTATCCATGGTGATAATGCTATACACCACCTGCTAGGCGTGTGATGAGCAGCAGAGGGCTGCAAAATGACCAACACACAACAACATGTAAATAAAAATGTAACACTTTTATATATTGAATAAATGTACATTTGCTTGTCAAATTATGTTAGTATCCAAGAATTATATTATTTCAGCCTATTAATTAAACAAGTAAAATTAGATCCAAAGCCTGGAAATAGTTGTGACTGGTTTAGTGAAAACTGCAAAGATCATTACCATAGCAATTAAAAGACCATCTGCAGACCTTGCCTTCAGTAGTTTCATGTGAACTACATGGTAAAATGTAAAACTTTTGGTTCCTGATTTATGCAGTAAAAATATTCATTTGAAAGACCTGGCCTATTTCAGTTTTGTGTGTTACTGATGGTTTTTAATGAGGCAAACGTGATTCAATGCAAAGTATTACAGTGAGAGCAAAACATTTCTTATCCGATTACTCGATTAATCGACAGATTAATCGATAGAGTACTCGATTACTAAAATAATCGATAGCTGCAGCCCTAATAGTCTGTAACAGTTATCATGCTCACAGTGGAAGAACAGCACACTGCTGAACCAAGAGGTCATTTAAAATGAGCAGGATCTTATATTAAAAAATGCATTAGTATTCCTCAGTGTAACACCTTAAATAATAACAAATTGCTGCTGATGACATGAATATAATATTAATTCTTGGAAACAAAAGCTAGCACGTCAACAGTTTAAAGGGATATTTTGGCGTAAAATTAATTTAGGGTCAAACACTCTGTAACACTGAGTAAGACACCCCTTTGAGAGATGAATGTTGCCAACCGCTTACTTACTTCCTTAAGTAACGACCACAGGATAGCAATACTGAGCGGTCTGAGGAGCCATCAACAAACCTCAACCAAAAAGCCACTCTACAGCCACAAATAATGCTCAGAACAGCTCCTTAATTCATCAACAGTACAGCCATAGCACTAGCCACCAAACATCTTTTTAACTTTGCCTAATTTCTTAAGCAAAGAGACTAAACACAACTCACCTACTCTCTTCCAGCAGCCGCTTGTTTGTAACAAGACCTCGGGGCAGTCCATTACAGACTACAGTGGGGTGACACCTTTCAAGGAAAAACATTTATGATCATTTCTTTATCATTTCCTTGAAGTAATAATCACCATATTAATCATTTTTGCACTGCAAACGTGGTAGTTCTCCTGCCTTCGAGTCTCAGTCTGATTGCATTTCCATGAAGAAATTACCATAAATGTTCTTCCTTGAGCTGCGTCACTGTGCTGCAGTCAATGGACTGGCCCGGGGTCTCTGTACGTCTTTTTGGTTGAGCACATGGCTATGTGTATTGTTATCGAGCGGTCGTTACTAAAGTTGGTATAACTAGAGAAGCAAGCAGTCAGCAACATTCATCTCTCCAGGAGCTGTCTAACTCGGTGATACGGTGTGTTTGACCCTAAATTTATTTTACGCCGGAATATCCCTTTAACTCAGAAGATTAGCTGCCAGTAAGATTTTAAAGGGTACAAGAACTTTGCAAATGTTCTCTCAAGAAAACAGTGTGGAGGACAGGTAAACAAAAACGAAGAGGCCATCCATCTTTGATATCATTACCGCACCACTACCTTTACATATGTCTGTGCGGTCTGTACAGTGCAGACATACTTAAATACACTTGAATATGCTCCAGCTCCCTCATGCAGCAGAGGTGGAGGAGATGTGCTCTATGTTTAATGAGTCATGTCTAAGGTGTAAATAACACATTGTCTATCTCAGATGTTGGCTACGCTGCCGCATCTTCACGGCTTCATTTAATCCTTATATTCACCTCTCTGCACTCTCATAGCCTCTTATCATGGCACAGAGGGGATACTTCTTTCCCTCATCATCAATCATCGAAGCCCGTGCCCTGTCACCCCGCTGGCAGAGGTGCTGTGTTGTGCGCTATTGTTTTGTTCTGTTTTGTTTGCTGTATTAGACTGGCTCTATTTTTGGACCAGTCAGAGGTCTTGTGGGGTTAGCTGCGCGCTCATAAAAAAAAAGCACCACAGCAAACTGGATGAATGTTTACCTCCAGAGATTCTGACAAAGTTGTAAAACTTTCAAAGGCAAGTGGTTTGTTGCTGCCCTTGAAAGTCTCAAAAAGAAAATGTTTTATAGTGTGATATGCAGATAGTCAACAGAAGGTAGAAATAAAGTTTGGTATTGTTAAAAAAAATAATGACAAATAAAGCATTGAAATAATATCATTGTATTAATACTATTTCATATCAACAGTGTGCCAAAAGTTGTGATAGAAGACATGATGTGTCATGATGTGTTTTCCAAACAAGCTTTACTATAGTGAATTTATTACCTGACTTTTTAATTTCAGATGTTAACAGAAGTTGCTTTAACAAACAAAGGTGTATTATGGAGTACCATGAATCATATGAAGTTCAGCTCTTCCCCTTGATGGTATAAATTTTCTTGATATCCCTAAGATAAGTTCTGTTTTATCTTGTTTGTCTTTTCATTTTTCTTTTCATCTTATTTATGTATTTATGTATTTATTTTTCAACAAGCAAGAGAGAATACGAGCTACTGTATAAATTAAGTGTAGAATGAGTGTTATAGAAGTGAAATGTCTGTAAGTAAGTATATGTCTAAGTTCAAAATGAAAATGGAAATGAAGAAAAGGACCCCAGGATGAGAAGTTACTGCATATCTTGTTGTAAATAATGGTGGATGCAGAATAAATCAAATCAAATAGTGTGCAATGAGAAACACCAGCCTCTTATCAATCTATTTCCAAAGTAAAAAGCAAGCAAGCTGTAAACACATCAAAGCAAACACTAGCCAACTCATAGCAGACACAGTACTATCTCAAACATAAGCATTGGGTCACCATGAATTTACAGTATGAGCATCACAATGCACACTCAATATCAACCAGCGCACAACACCAACAATAGACATATACAACCATCAACAAACACAAACAAACTCACAGCTCAGCATTAAAACAACCAGCAGCATTAGCTAAGCACGCCTATCCAGCAAGCGTGGTCTCACCTGGTTTAGCACAGCCAGTTAGCACCGCCGGAAGTAAGAAAGTTGACTTACTTTGTTGAAGTCAAGGTGCCGTCTTCAGCATTTTCCCAGCTTTTCGTCCTCGCGCAGGAAGCATATCCGGTTATTTAAAGTCCAGCTCGTTTGAGGAGAGGTTCCGACAGCGGTGGTCCAGCAGAGTTTACACCTGCACCGGCAGTTTGGAGGAAACGTGAAGGTAGCGCGGATGGTCAGGTCAAACGGACTACAAAGGCCAAGAGCGCACAGCAGGAACCGTTTCTGCAGTCCTGAAGAGAATTACCGCCCTGAACAGAGTATTCAGGTACGTATTACATTAAATCCACTTTTATTTATTTTTATTTATTTATTTTTCGAAATACTACTCTCCATCTGAAATAATTGGCATAACTAAATAAGTAACTTAAAAAATTAAAATGTGTTTAATATTTTCGTATAGGGTAGAGTGGGGTTAGTTGCGCCAACCCCTGTTGCTTGGAAATGATAAAAGAAATTGATCATGTGGCCAAATATTTATGAGATGGGCATCAATTCATGGACTCTGTGAAGGTTAGAAGTAATGGATGAAGTGGTTAGACATTCATTTACAAAAAATCATATTCAATCACATTAACTACAACTAAGTTGATCAGAAGTATCCAAAAGATGTTATATTGCCATGTATATTTTTTACCTTAAAAAGCAGCACAGCAGAGTAGCAAATTTCTGTATTTTAGATCAACAGCCCTGTGTGCAAGTGTCAAAGCTATTTCCACTTGCCATATGGTCGTCATTTTCACTCCCCTGGTGAAATAGGAGATGAATTTGCACCTACTTTCATGTCCATAGGTGTTCTAAATTTCCCCCCTGCTAAAGTTTGTTTCCAACAGTTTCCAACAGCTGAGTCCAAATAAATCTCTTGCAGTATTTTCTGTTTTCTAAGCTAGAAACTACCTGACTGTGGGCGCCTCCAAGAATCTCCTCAAACAGGTTTTCAGTTGTTAATAAAGTGAACTTATTCAGCTCTGGAATAAAAACACAAAAAGTAACACTCACAGATAAATGTCATATTTCAACATTCTGATGCAACTCCTGTCTCCTAACAACTTTTAGGAGGGTGCTACATTGAGAATAAGATATTTTTAGACACAAGGTGGCAATAGCATAACCGAACTGAAACAAAACAAGCCTGAAAATAAATTGTGCACGTAGCTTAAATTTTGGCATAATAATTAAAGTTGTACGAAGGAAAAAAAGAAGATAAAGCTAACTGAAGAAAATGTGCATTTCAAGGTGGGTAATTGGGTAAATCAAGCAGAGGGTGTAGTTGAACCCTGATGTGAGCGATCAAGCCTGCATAATGGGATGAGAACCCTGGTGCCTCTCTTAATTCACTTGGTGAGTGGCCTAGTAGTTAGCATTGTCGCCCCCCAGCAAGAGGATTCAGGCTTCCACAACAGGCCTGGCCTTTCAATCTATAGACCAACAGTGACCTGACAGTCTCCCACTGGAATGTGTTCAACCTGATTTTGAACCACGAAAGTGCTCTTGAAAGTTAATAAACCTTAATAAACAAGTGTTTGAGGTGAGCTATAAGAACTTCTGCCTCTCAAGATGGTTTAGGGTTCAAGACAAGGCCAGGGCTTTGTTATTTGTGGCTTAAGTGTTCTGGGCTCCTCTCACAGGACTGTGGGCCATGATTTTTTAGCTATGAGAATGTACTTGAAAGTCGAATCTTAAACAGGTAAGAGCTTGGGCTCTAATTTTAGCACAGTTGGTTGAAGAGAGGCTATAGATTAACTGTATTAAAAATGTACACAAAGCAAAAAGACAACACCAAATACCCTTCCTTGGCCAAAGCGAGATTTTGTCTGCTTTATCAGATGCACCAGCATGCTGGTTCTTCCCCTGTGTGAATATGTAGTGTTCCAGGTCTTATGACTGGTATGTTGAGGGCTATAGAGCAGCATTTTGGTTAAAGTTTGTATGTGGCTCCTCAGACCGCTGTGTATTGCTATCGTGCGGTCATTACGTAAGTTGGTATAACTAGAGAAGCAAGCAGTTGGCAACATTCATCTCTCGAGGGGGTGTATTACTTGGTGTTATGGTGTGTTTGAGACTTATTTAATTTTACGCCGGAATATCCCTTTAGGACTACTGTCTCATAAGGAACAGAGAGTTAATTAGAAGCTGGTGCTGGCTGACCAGGCTGAGAGGAATAAGAGGAAAATGCAGCAGGAGCCTGCTGACAACAAGAGCAGAAGAAACAATCTTATTACTCTAGAGATAAGTCAGATATCATTTTATAAAGACTAGCAGGTTGAAATGTGGTGTTTTAATAACTTTCTTGTTGCACTGAGTTAGTGTGCAGGCTTACCCTCTTTTCTTACTGATGGTTTTATTTGCCTTGTGCACATAACCTTTTGTTATTCACAGTTCTTGATAAACACATCAAAAACATATGTCTAACATTTATGATTTCAGAAGACAAGGTGATGCTGCATTATGGAAATCATTGCATTCTTACCACACCATAAAATCCTGTGAGTTAATGGACATCACATTATTGTGCTCAATTCACAGTCCCTATTTTACTTGTAAGGAGTAACTTTTGCCACATTAGACCCCACATGAACTTTAAATTGAGTTAAATATGAGTTTTTTTAATGGTTCTGTGACTTGACCTAGATCACTTGCACTATTTTTATAGGCTTCATGCTAACGAAACTATAGAGATGATCTTCCAGCCTAGATCTCCAGGGAAATCAGGTGGTGTTCTGTCCAAAAAGCCAGGACTCAGGACGCGCCTGGAAGCAGTCAGAGAGGCATGAAATCCTAATGTTACCGTTCTTGTTACAGTGAGCAGACCAGGTCCAGCGGTCATCCCTGCCTTACAAAGATTAATGGCTCGACTCACAGGTTGGGTTCCCATTACGTAGTCTGTCCATCGCCACCTCGTTATGGACACATCCTTCACTGTCAGGCAGCAAAAGAAGGAAGTCAAGTGGTCGTATCCCTGCAAATGTTGCTCACAAAAACCTGATATGCTCTGTATGGCACATGGCTAAGACCAGTAAATCCTCGCCCCTGAGTGCGGTATTCACACAGTCAAAACACTGCATGTACCTTTTCAAATTTAGGGATTGGTACAGTTGGCTGTTTATTGAGGACACTTCCTGCATGAATGGAAATCTGTTTTTTTCTCTATTTGAAGTCCAAATTTTTTTCTACTTTTACTGTATACTTGCAGAAAAAGCTGTTATACCAAGTCAATTTGCATACAGCATTCCCCACTCTCTTGTTTGTTCTTTTTGTACGAACTGTAAAGCTTCCTACAGGGAATAAATTCCACAACAATCAATCCCAAAACTTCAAAGCTAAAGCACAAGGATGATCAATATTGGGCTAAATATGCTAATTTATTTTGGCCAGGAATATCCTGTTTGTCTCTTTTTTTGCTGCTGTTGTTCACACTTATTTACCATAAAATGTGTAGTCGTGTGTGTATTTTCCTTTTCGTGTATCCATTGGCATAATATTTGTCAGAGGGATGCAAAGTAAAAGAATTCTAGGCTGGACTCCCCATCTGATCTCAGGATGAGAGACTGTAACTAATGATCTCGTGTCAAGCCGCGGATAATTTATGGCTTCACATACTTTCGGATAAATAGGATAATGCGTGCATGTGCATGAGGACACGTGTGTGTGTGTGTGTGTTTGTGTGCACAGCATTGAGTGATGTGCAGCATGTGATGGTGATAAAGTGTCGTTTGTGTGTGCTTATGTCTCTTGGTATGCACCCAGTTGGTCATGTGTGCTAGGAAAAGGATGCACCGTGAAGATATCTGACAAATATCCAGGAATTTTTAAAAAAAGAAAAGGATTCAGGCCTCTGCTCCTCTTTTCCTATGGGTGTAGTATAGCTGCAGTTTCAATAATTCATGGAGAATTCTACATGCCGAAGTGTAAGTTATTGTGTTTTCATGGAGCCATTCATCTTCATAGTGACTAATTTGCCCTGTGGTGTAATGGCACTGAGGGCTTTGTGGGTGTAATGGGAGTCAATGACATTTTCTGTAGCTGTGATTGCCCTTGCTTTTTAGTTTCCCCCTGCACACCCAAATACAAATGTGCATGCAGGTGGCACACACACACACACACGTACCACAGTTGTTTTTTTTTACTGTTATTTTTTGCAGTTGGAGTTTTCATACCTCCAAAAAAATCTTAGCTTGAGTGAATGCAGGCACTCCATCCCTCACACCCATCCGCCTATTTATCTAAGTAAGCTACATGTAAGCTGTTATTTATGATGAGCCTCTGGAGAATTATGGGATCTAAGTAGCTTCCTTCTTATTATTGCCCTAATGCGCATTAAAGCATTAAAGCTAGCCGTGTATACTCTCCTGGTGGGTTTCTTCATCCATATTCATGAGGACGGGAGAACCTGAGGTTTGCTTGGCTGTCAGTACATTAATCTCAGATACTCTCCATCACTTTTTTCCCCGGCTTTCTCCTGTGAGAGATTAGGGAGATCAGAAGTGAGCTAATGTAATAAACAGCTGTGATGGGCTGTCATGTCTGTATAATCTCCGCGGAAAGAATTGGCCTACGCTCTGTGTGACATATGGACGACAGAAGTTGTGAATGCAACAAAGAGAGGCGTTCAATGACGCCTGTGGCTCAGGACAATATGTTTTCTGTTTCATGACAAGTCATTTTATCATCAAAAGTACAGTGATGTTTTTATGATTCGAAGAAAAAGAAAAGAGTGATGTTTATCATCACTCCCCAAAAAAGTTTGAAAAGTTTAAACATTTATTTTTGATGTTCAAAACCCAATGGATACAAACTTGAAATTGACAAACAGCAGAAAAGGCACCAATTTGGAAATCTTGTTTGATGTATACACGTGTCAACAGTTCTCTGTAATAGTTTTCTGCAATCAGGGAAACACGCAGTTATGAAAAACAAATATAACATAATTGGAGAATGACAGTTTATTACAATTTATGGCCTTAACTGCTGCGTTGTTAGTGCTCCTGAGGGATGCAACCATACGCACAAGATGCTCTCTGAGGAGGAATAAGCAGATGTCTGTGAAAGATGCAGAAATTATATCTGCTGCATGAAGAAAAGCAGAATGAGGGTGCAAAAAAAAGCAATATTTGATTGAGAAAGAGAGAAATGGACGCAGAGATCACTCACCTTTTTACCTCCGTCTTTACCTCCTCCTCCTCCATCCCAGCTTCCCTCCTTCCTGCTGACAGAAATACATTAACTGAGACACGCTTGCCTTGAAGTTCCTCCCTCAGCAGCTGCTGTCTCAAACACTTTATTGAGTTATCGAACAGAGAATATATATGACAAATGGAGTCAACAGACTGGGCTTTGGTTTACATCCCTATCCAAACAGTCTGTGTTTACTGTAGGAAATCAAAGTATAAATCTGTACCCTGCCCATCCGCGGATCAATATTCTGCTTCAGATGCCTTCAGGTGTCCGTCAACAAACACATGATTGCATTGAATACTGAAACTGTTCCTCAGAGCCACAGCTTTGTGTAATTAACTCAGTGACCTGTTTGTCATTTACACATGCATAGGTTGTAAAAATTGTGAAAAGCCTGTCTTGTCTGATAAACCTCCAGGTCTCTCACACAGCAAGGTGAGAGCATGAAGGTTGTTGTTGCATCTGGATGCTGAAGGTATGTCACCTATTAGATACACTGGCAGTTATGTCGGTGTTTGCTGTTTAAATGGTAGCACAAGAGGGGTTAACACAAGAATCAGTGACCGTTCACTGGAGGCTGAAACCCTTGAGACATATGCATCTGCTGAACTCATTCAGGGACTCATCCTCCGTCAGGCTGTGTGCACATCTGTCATCGCTGCCCCCCTGGCCCCCCTGCCCCAGAGGTTAAAGGGAAGGATAAAAAAAGGGAGGATGTTTGGATTTGACCACAGGGGGAAAGAAAACAATGGAATTTCTTGAACATCTTTTTGACAGATGCACCTCCTGTCCATCCGCAGTCCTCGCTGTATAATTCTGTGTATTTGTCTGTGTCATCATCATATAACACTTTAATGTCAAGACAGACATTCAGTAAATCACTTATGTTAAGGCTGAAAAGGATCGGTCCCAGTATAGAACCTTGTGGATTTCTAAATGAGCTGCAACAGTATGCTGATTGTGCATTTCCAATTTGTACAGCTAGTTTCCTTATTTTCAAGTACGACTTCATCCAGTGGTTAGGTCAGTAGACATCAGTAATACGAAAACCTGCACCTTTCATTATTTTTAATTTAATAGTAAACATTTATTAAAGCTAATTTGACCTTGATGGGATATTCTGGCGTGAAATTAATTTAGGGTCAAACACACCGTAACACTGAGTTAGACTCCCTGTCGAGAAATGAATGAATGAATCTTTACCACACACAAACCTCAACCAAAAAGCCACTTTATAGCCACAAATAATGCTCAGAACAGCACCTAACTTCATCAACAGTACATATAGGGTCCCAGCCATAGTATACCAAACATCTTTTTAGCTTTGCCTGATTTCTTTAGCAGAGAAATTAAACACAACTCACCGATTCTCTTCCAGCAGCCGCTTGTTTGTACGAAGACCTCCGGCCAGTCCATTATGGACTACAGCGGGGTGACGCAGCTCAAGGAAGAACATTTATGATAATTTCTTTATCATTTCCTTGAAGTAATAATCATCATATTAATCATTATACACTGCAGACGCGGTAGTTCTTCTGCCTTAGCGTCTCGGTCTGATTGCATTTCCATGAAGTAATGACCCTGTTTGACCCTAACTTAATTTTATTTTCCCTTTAAAGGTCTGCAAGTGCCAGTCTGGCTTACAGTGGTCTGAAGATGGTCATTTTATGAGCTAAAGAGCCAAGTCTGTGCATTTGCCAAATTCAGAGAAGCAGTATGTTTCATGTATGTATAAAAAAACATTAAAAATCCATTGTTTGTATGTATACAATTATGTACCGTCTATTATGAATCCAATGAGTGCAGCTAAAAGGGCAACAAGACCTTTGCACATGTCTCAGTGTCACCAGATGAGTCAGCATGTTGTTTACTGACGTTGTTGGAGCAACGACAGAGCCTCACCCTCTGAGTCCCAGTGTGCCTCATTAGCTGCTGCCATTTCAGCTCTTGTTCCCTTGTTAATCACCTCAGTCGATCACCTCTGAGCAATCAGTTAAATTTAGTGATTAAGTGCAGAAAGCTGAGAAATGCAGCCCTGTGCAGATTTTGGTAGTTTTAGAGGAAGCACACATGGCTGCAACCAATGACCACAGACTGAGGGTGTAATCGAGAGAACAGATCTGGATCCTCTAATAGCTCAAATTCTTTGTCCTCTTTTTAAAAATTTTGTCACGTTACTCCCAGTCCCAGTTTTGAATTACTGTTACTGTTTTTGAAAGCTCTGAAAAGCATCCCCCCTTCTTTTAATTCAGTTTTTAATCTGCAAACTTTTCCTCGATCTTACCTGACATTAGAAACTATTTTGTTTTATGCATCATATTTAATATTCTTGTTAGATTGCTGAAACTATGGCTGTTAGATAAATGCAATGAATGAAAGAAGCAGTTTATTTATCAAACATAATGTAGAGTGTATAAATGAAAATACTAAAGTTAAGAGCAAATGCTTCTTTGCTGACTGTAAAATCCAATATTTGAACAACTAAGTTTCTTAAGAGCTGTGTTCAAAACTTCTACAGTGTGTGTCTCTCTTTAGACACTCCCTTGAGAGATGAATGTTGCCGACCGCTTACTTCTCTAGTTATACCAACTTTAGTAATGATCACAGATAGCAATACACAGCGGTCTTAGGAGCCACACACAAACCTCGACCAAAACACCACTCTACAGCCACAAATAATGCTCAGAACAGCACCTAACTTCATCAACAGTACATATAGGGTCCCAGCCACAGCACTAGCCACCAAACATCATTTCTTCATGGAAATGCAACCGCAACGCTAAGGCTGAAGAACTACTGCGTGTGCAGTGCTAAATGATTAATATTGGGATTATTACTTCAAGGAAATGATTAAGTAATGATCATAAATGTTCATCCTTGAGCTGCGTCACCGTGCAGCACTCTGTAATGGACTGGTCCGACGTCTCGCTACAAACAAGCAGCTGCTGGAAAAGAACGGGTGAGTTGTGTTTCGTCTCTTTGCTACAGAAACCAGGCAGAGCTAAAAACATGTTTGGTGGCTAGTTTTATGGCTGGGACCCTATATGTACTGTTGATTATTACTGTTGATTAACTGAGCATTATTTGTGGCTATAGAGTGGAGTTTTAACACAATGTAATTAGGAGCTCTTCCTGATGATTTTTTTCATTCATCAAATAACTTTTTGAATGTTTCATTGTCTCTGTCTCCTCTGATGTTGGCTTTAAATCTTAAGAAGATTAAAAATGTTCAGTTTCAAGATTGATATATTGTCTTTGAGCTGTCATACAGAGTTTAAATCATCAATCAAAACCTGTTTTATCTACAATGTACATAAGGTTTGTAATCAGATTTCTTTATTTAACTCACTTATGTTTTTTTATTTCCCTTTCTTTGTAAAAGATTCATTTATATGTACAAACTGATTTTCTATTTTGCCTTGTGGTAATAGATGGCCTTGCACACAAGTGTCTTTTGTTGACCAGCCAGGTCCTTATTTTGTCTACTTTAACCACCAGTTCTCGGATAAACACTTGAGTAATGGTCATTTGGTTGTGTGTATGTGCAGCGACATGGGTTCGTAGATAGTCATTTAATGAAGCATCCTTGAGTCTCAATCTACTCTGACCTTGTTGTTTCCTGCTTTGAATTGCATCATTATTCAGTAAAAAGACACGTCCATGAATACACAAAAATTCAATACCTGGGCTACTTGGCTATAATGATAATAAAGGAAAACTAAAATGAGCTACAACCATGTCAAAGCCACTGAGGTATAGTCTATTGTATCACTCAATGAGCCCATTATATTTGACAAGCTAGAAATAAGACTCTCATGAATATCTCTGGTACCTGAAATCCTCTTTGATTAGAAATGTGTTTACATCCAATTTCTTTGCTTACCATATTCTGCCAGTAAATGTCAAAGCAGCATGATGTGAAAGCACTCATATTAGGAAACCTTTATGAGTTAATTTTTAATGTTATTAAAATCTCATAAGTGTTTGATCAAAGGTAAACCAAATCATTTTATAATTTTTGATTTATTGTGTTAAAGCTGAAGGGCTACGACATGAAAACAGTCAGTCAAAGGTAATGAGCACTCATCTATTTTCTTTTTGATCTGATAAAACTGTTATCTCAGTGCTTTTTCAACCTTCTCTTTTAAGAAATTTGTTTTGAAAGCTGATGGATTTGCTCTCCATATCTAAATTGAATTCATTCAGTTTATCAAGCCTTTTCAAACATGGTCGCTCTTTTATCTGTTCAAGTAAACACCCCTGTTTGTAGCCCCATACTGTTATCCTTATCAGTTATCTCATATGGATGGCCATGTGTTGTCTTGTCTTGTCAAGGGCAGTTCTCTCACCTGTGCTTTATCCTTGAGCGTAGATTCCCCCCGGTGAGTGGACCTGACCTCAGTGCAAAATGCAGATGAGCATGTGGTCAGTGCCAATGCAAGATCAGGACCTTTGCTCCCTTTGGTTCAAACATGAGGGGTTATTTTAGCACTTACAGTTGTTGGTGTTTTTTTTGCTTTAGTTTTCATGTCTCCCCCCCGCAACAAAATATGTTTATTAGTTTTTCTGCCCCTCATGTGTCTTCTATCAGTGCCCTGTCAGTCACTGGATAGACGCAGCAGTTCAGAAGTCACTCTAACCTTGACAAAAAGAGCCGTCCTCCAATAACACTGCTGCATACTAATGCCACTGTTGTTGCTCTGAGATCTGGACTAATGTATTCAGGAGGCATCTTAAATTCTCTAGCTTTTCTCTAGTCTGCAAAGCTGCTTTCTAGTGGAAAAAAATGACTTAAATAATGCTAGCAGTGTTTGTATTATCGAATAATATAAGAAGCTTAAAGTCTGGACACAAAGTAAGAGGAATTTTTAAACTTTAGGACCATTTTCAGAATTTGAACACTTCGAACTTTTGTCGAGGATGATCTTGACATAAAATCTGCTGAAACCACATATTCTTACTGCCAAAAACACACCTTAATTTTTGACACCTTTGGCAGTTTAGTGTTGATAGTATGAATCCACATGGAAATCAAATCTGGTCTCAAGCAGACTGCATACCACATTGCCTAACATCAAAACAAAGAAAGATGAAAGCAATGGCCTGCATGACAGGCTCCAGAAATCTCCCAGTCCCCAAGCTGTGAAGTGATAACTTCAGGAGAGAGCCCATGTTTAGTTGAATGGGGAAAAAACATCATGATTTAGTTGAGTATATCGAAGGAAACTCTGGTAGCTCCAGCTGCCTTCCCTGCAGGAGATTAACTTGCATATAAACCATGTGTACATTATCCGCCATGTGGCAGCCACCGATCATGTTTTATTTCAAGGCTCCAAACAAACATCATGAAAAGCAGGCGTTCCCTTTGCTCAGCAGTACAACCAGGTATGCATGTCATCCTCTAATTTTACTAAGCACACTGACCTTTCACTGCACACAGTGGTAATAGCCGGTTTCATGTCACGTTGCCGTTTATCGAGGGCAGATAGAGGAGTCATCTGGAAATTACACAAAGGATTAGGTATAATTGTGAGAGACACAGGACTGATTGGGAGGGTTGATGTCAGAGATGACAATGTATATAATTATTGAAGAGGTCCTGTTTCATTACAGGTCAGAAGTGATATAGAGAAAAAAAATGATTAATGTAGTCCTTTCCTTTTCATGCAATTCAGTTACTGCGACTGAAGATATGTTAAAGTGGACACATGCTGACAGAGGACACTGTGAATATATACTATGTTGTTAACAGACAACATAGCATACATCAGATACATGTAATATGTTATTTTATATAAGGTATTGCTTAAAGTGATTAAGATGCAACAGATTTAAAGGAGAATTTTTCATTCAAAGACCTAACCAATGGTAAATAATTTGTAGACAGTACAAGACAGCCTTTGGGAGTTCTCACTGAGAATTCTTTTCTCGCTAAACAGTATTAAAATGTATTACTGAATTTCTTTGTGATATGTCCATATATTTAGAATCAAGTCTAGGCTGTAAAAAGTTAGAAAGTACAATGGATGGATTGTTTAAATTTTTTAATCTATCTTGGCTAAAGAGCCACTGTAGGCTACAGTTCACTTTCCCTAAGGTCTATTAAATTTTCAAGTACATTTAGAGTCAAAGCTCAAAGTCTTTATTTTACTGTCCAGCTGGAACAAAAAACAAAAAACACTTAAGCCCCAGAAAGGTCCAGACCAGTAAAATAAATTTGAGCCAGTTCATCCTGAGTCACAATGTGCTGCAGAGCAAACTTACACTGCCTAACTTTTTAGGTCTTTTGATTTTGAAGTACATCCTGGTGGTTCAAAATCATGGCCCACATCCCAGCTAGAGGAAGACATACCTTTTGCACCACAAAGGGAGGCTCCCAGCCAAGATTCACACCTTGAACCACATATTTACTCATGAAGCTACATTCATTTTAAAGTGTTTTTGGAACTGGTTTTAGAACTCTGAACCAGTTTGCTGCAACTACCACATGTCTGCTTTGTGGTGCTGTCCTGTTTGGGCATTTCACCAGCTTATGGTAATTAAAAGATGATCCCAGTCTTTACTGTGAAGAAAGTAAGTCTATGCCTCTAATGGAAAGTCTGGGATTAAACCCTGTACCATAAGGCAGCAGTTGTAACGGCTACTCCTCTCGCTTGCTACCTTCATTATGGTGATTGATTTAAAGACATGGTCCAGACCCAACAAAT